ATATTACCACAAGAGGAGAGCGAGAGAGGATAATTTGAATCATATGTTGAACTGCATTTAACGGCCGTCAAACACAAAACAATATCCTTAGTAAAGAGAGTGGAAGAGAGAGCCAGAGACTTCCGTTGTGAACAAAAACAAACACACAACAGAGAATTTAAAGAGGAAAGAGATAGCACATAAACATTCGAATGAGTCATTTGAGTTAATGCATGAGCATCTAACGGCCTGTACTCTTTGAAATTTACCCAGGCACATAAAAGTGAAGCCTCTGCCACAGCAATCAAACAGTAACGTCAAAGCCAGCAGGCAGAGCAGAAGTTGTCTTTACAGAACAGAAAAAAGAAGAAATAAATAAAACGAAATAAATTTAAATAAACAATCAACAACATGTCTGCAACAAATTCTCTGAAAGTCTCCTACAAAGGTTTAACCAGGAATATTACTTGTGATTCTGGATTACCCTATGAAGATGTGGTTAACAAAGGTAAGTTATTTGGATTTCATGTGGAGCCTGACAAAAAATATTAATAATGCTTTTTATTTCCCCCTCTCCCCCAGTTATGGAAACGTTCGATTTGACCCACCTGCAACGCAGCGCCATCCAGCTGTACGATGAACATGGTGCCAAATATGATAAGGAAATATTTGAATACTTCATATTGCTATTCCCAAATCCACAAAAACTATTCTTCATTAGATTGGATGCCTCGATGTTGTTGCCATTACCCCGAGAAAATCCCCAAGAAGTCAATCAACCAAAGCGTCAAACATTCCAGGTATCCAAAAAGACAAATAAATTAAAGGAAACCACAAATGTTCACAGCGAAGCTGTACCCGTGCGCCGACAGAATTGTTTCATTGGTCAATGGCCAGAAACAAATCCAACAAGTGCTGATAACCCACACCAACAGGATAATGTACGCAACATTGTAAACCGTTATAAAATGTTCCACAATTCATCACAACACATGAAAACAGCAACAACAACCACAACGAGGGTGGTGAAACGTTCCATAAGGATTTGAAATGTGTGTCCCACGCCAACTATGTATTTTATTATTTTTATTATTAACTAGTGTTCCTAATGTAGATTTAATCATTTCGTCTTAAATACCAACAACAAACTCAACTGTACAATACTCCTAGAGATAAAAACAACAAACAACAACAAAATCATATCTGTGAAATGTAGACATGTAAATATATTTTTGTAAGAAATCCTTACATTTCATAAAACATCGAAAACGAAACAAAGTGTGTGTTATTTTTTACCTGCCGGCTGTTTGTTTAGTGATTTAACATGGTCAGAGATTAAATGGAAATTTAATAGCGAACTACGAGAACAAGCAAGTGTATTAAACCATGAGGAATACTCCGGCTACCTGTTTTATTAACGCCTACATGCTAATGGATAGAAATCTCAAGACTTAAGGATTAAGGCTCTATAAACGTATTAAATGTCTGCACATGTTCTTCAGACTTCCACAAGGGCCTTCTAGAATTCCCTTCCCGTTGTTTACATTAATGTTCAGTTAATCATCGAATCTTCGTCTCGTCACTGTAAAAAGTATTATTTTATTCGTAAGGTATTCAATAGAGCCCTCTAATTAAAAAATTGGCTGTTCTAATAATCTGAGTTTCTGGAAGACGACAATGATTTCATCGTCATTATTTTTGTTGGCGACTAAGTATTTGAAAGATTTAAAAAAACATGATCATGCAAGAGCAGGATACGTCATTTAGGACTATTCAATAGACTATTGAAATTTTTGTGTAAATCGAACCATTATTTTTCAGTAGACTATTTTCAAGGAAACATTTGGATGGGCTGATTTTGGACCAAATCTCTACATGATAAAAAAAACAACTTTTCTATGTCTTATATCAAACTCTGCACACCTCCTTATTTAAAATGAACACTCCCCAACAATCTATCTATTGGGCGCCATTTCACATTATCAACGAATTAAAAATCAGCATAACAGCCAATCATAGATTGACATTCCTGGTATTTAGGGCTCGGCTGCAGCTTTTACAAAAAATATAATAGATTATTGTAGGTTCTGCAACTGAATTGGTGGCCTAAATAACTTTACATGTCTTAAGTAGTAAGAAGACTCAGTATAAATAAATGTAAGGAATCATTTAGATTAGATTGGTGGAGGTTATTAAAATCCGTACTTGAAAAACTTGTCTTCTATTGATATCTCCGGTCATTCAAGAACAGGATATACCATTTCAGACTCTATACAATGGGCTATGCAAAATTTCGTGTAAATCGAACTAATATATGGTCTTTGAGTGTACCATTTACATAAAATCTAGCGAATAATATATGGAAGCTATATCTAAATCTCAACCGATTTCTACAAAAATTTACACACGTTTTTCCCGTTTCCATCTAGTGTAGAAATTTCGGTAAACTGTTGGCGTTTATTAAACCGATTTTCCCTGCGATAGAAAATATCATCCCATTCGGATCATAAAGGTGACATGGACGGACCGAAATTTTGTATGAGGTACACAAAATACCTGAAATAGATCGAGACTTATGGGTGCGCTATGCCGTGATAAGTTCCTGCCAGACCCTCAGGTTAGAGAATCGTGCTATGGCTAGGAACATGCCGAAATCCTCAAAATATCAAAAATTGGGGTCTGCTGTTATATCGAACTAAAACGAGGACCAATATGAAAACTTTTTGGTAGAAAGATTTGACACCCAATGAGAACCCTAAATATCAAATTAGAGGCAATTCGTTTGAAAAACGGACCCAAAATACCGAATAATGGGGGTAGCGTTATATGGGGGTTAACCAAAAACTGGGTACCATATAAATGCCTTATGAGAGGGAGATGGGTAGAACCCAATGAGAAACATAAAATTACAGTCGTTTTCGTTAAAATTAACGTGCCCACACTCCATAAAAATCTGAAAATTGGGAGCTATCATAGTCTAAACAGTCGGACAGACAGAGAGACATAGCAAAATCGACATAGAACTTTATTAGTGGAAAGTTTTGTTTAAAACGAATATTCCATTCGCTTGATATTGTGTTTATAAATAATGAAAATGTGGGGGAGCTACTAGAAGGAGTGGACCAATGGACCCCATCGTCGGCCTTAATCTAGGTTTGGTAATGATAATAGGCTGTGCATAGTTTGGTTCAAATTGGACATTCCAGTCACCTGATATTGAATTTATAAATATTAAAAATTTAGACTATTTGTGGGGGAGGTACCAGTAGGTGTGATCAAATGGGTCCCATCTTCGAACTTGATCTAGACTTGGTAATGACAATAGGTTGTGCAAAGTTTGGTTCAAATCGGGCATTCCATTCGCCAGATATTGGTTTTATTTATATAATGATATGTTTGACCCTTTGAGGGGAAGGTACCCGAAGGAGTGAATCAATGGGTCCCATCATGGAACTTGAACTAAGTTTGGATGAAATTTTAAAATGCGCACAATTTGGATGAAATTAGTTACTCGCTTCGAGAATTATCGCGTGCACCAGACGGCCAGACGGACATTTGTAAATCGTCTCCAAATTGTCTCAAAGGGATTTGGTCCAGAGAAACATGGGGTCTAAAACCAATTAGCCATAAGGCTTAGGGTATAAAAACAAAGTGTTCCCAAAACTGACACTATAAGGTTCTCACGTTGGGCGCCAATTTTATAATATTATTGCGGACGTTACAATGGAAATTATGTCAAATAAGAAATCAGAATCAAAATATTTTTTGGACCTGAAACTGTCTTCCTTATATCGCATTATATCTGGAGGGGATTAAATTAAGGGCACGAAGTGTAATAAAGAAATTAGCCATAAGGCTAATTGGACCAATTAGCCATAACGCACGTTGGGCGCCAATTTTGAAAAATTATGGAAATTATGTCAAATAAGAAATCAAAATATTTTTCGAACCTTAAACTGTCTTCCTTATTAAAAATTCGCATTATATCTGCAAGGCATTAATTTAAGCGCACGAAGGGTTGGAAAGAAATTCATAATAATTTTCTTTATTTGATATCGATTATAGTGACTAATTCTGCCAACCCCATAATCGTCATTAGATGAGATGTCGACTGTGCTTGAATTGTCATTCTCCAATCGAATTGGTTAGAGGGTGGAATTGTGATATTTTGAATTGGGTGAATTTTCATCCGAATTTAACTATGATTTAGATCTTTGAGACCACAATGGGTACAATTTGTTTTTCTAAAATCTCTACAAATGTGAAATAATCATCGGGGAACACAAACAAATATATATGTTAGGAAAATCAGTAAAATTCTATGTCGACTATCATGTTTGGTAATGAAAGTAGAATATATAGGTCCGCCTTTTTGAATAGCCTCCATTTTCGGCACTTTTATATGCGGTTATAATTTCTTGGGCTCTTAGAGAGTAAAATAACACTTCGCAAAAAAATTGTCAGTACTTCAAGGATTTAGTACGATTTTGAAAAGGAATGGTTGAATTCGGATTAATTGTTGATTGTCATATCCATATTCTCCTACCGATGGCTATTATTAGACATTTCAGATCGTAAGAAGCATAATAACACAATTTAATAAATTCAATTTGCCATTTTGGGTTCACAGCTCTGCCACTACGACAATACAATGAACTGCACTTATCTGACAGATCTGGACAAGTGGCAACACCATTCACAAACGTGGATTATGGACATTCATTTGCATAATACTGGAACAGTGGGGTTATAGAGACATGACTGTCACTATCGATCTATTTCTGGAATTATGGTTTCGCAGAGGATAAACTATATAACTCCAGCTATGTCCTCTTAAATCCACTCTACTTTTTTCTTAGAATTATCAAAATTGACTTATGTGAGGAACAACAAATTGTATGTCACCATCTGGAGTTAAACGATTGAAGTTCTAATCATATCCTACTCCACTCATTTCCTTCCACTCTCTCCAGCTGTGCCTGTTCAATACTTAAGAATAATCCTTCTTATCGAAAAACTTCTTATGTCAAACACTCAACCCTTCCATCGAGTACTTCAAACTCGAACCGGATATAACAAATACCACGTGTGTCACCACTTACCGTGCAATCGTGCTTCTGATATGTCGCCTCCGTACACATGCTATTCACCGTGGCGATTGAGACATTTTCACATGCCGCCATGTCGCCGATTTTCAACTGGACTCGCTGCAGATGATCACGCTGCCGTGACCAACCCAATGTATTGCACATTGTCCACATTTGTTCGGGATGTTGTTCTGCTGATGTCGCCACAACCTTAGGACCCACACCAACACCCACCGGAGTTGTTGCGGTTGTCGTTTGATTAACACCATAATATTGCACTTGGGGATTACTTTCTGGCAGAGGGTAACTATCAAAATCGGCTGCTTCAATTTCCGATACTAATGATTCGGCCTGGGGCATTTTGTATGCCGATGCTTCATAGGAATCATCCTCATCGTTATTGCCTTCTTGAGAATCCGACATTTCAGAACTTGTTGTAACTGTGGGTAATTCGAAATATTGTTGGGTCTCATGTTCGAGTAGTTTTATGGATTCACCACTTCTACCCTCTAGGCGTTCAGCTTTCGGAACATAGGCACGTCTTTGAATTTGTTGTTCTTGGCGACGTTGTTGTTCATCGGGCAGGCATATGGGACGAACATGATCCGAGAACACCACAGGAGTTTCAAGGCGTATCAAAGCTGCGGTCGAACCTTCGACGGGGCTCTTAATCATGCCAATTATACGTCGGCGTTGGGTCCATGGAGCCTTGGAAGCTAGACGTACGGAACCGAAAACGGCCATCCATGTGGCTCTTGGCTGGCCTTGGAAGCAGGATTCAGTGGTGAGAACCCAATCGGGGGAGATCTGAAGAGGGATGCATTTTGATTTAAAAAATCAGTTTTTTTTGCAATGTAATTTCTTACCAAAGTACCATCGCACACATGAATATCCTCACGATACAATGCCGCCAACCAAGGCCAATCTCCAGGCGAAGACATTTTGGGTAGGGTAAGATGTTGTTTGCCCGTCAATACCGATTGTATGCCACACTGCAGCTCGCCACATCCTACATAGAGTACCTGACGGCGGGGACAATGGGTACGCACAAAGGAAATTTCGGGAGCATGTGGGTCCAACACCCTCACATAATCATTGATGTTTTCAGTATCCGTAACCACATCGAAGATTTCCACAGATCTGTAAAAGGGGAGGATTTAGAATAAAAATTTTGATTTTGAATAATTCTCAAATGCGGACATACTCATAGCCCAAAGATTTGCACAGAGACTCGGCCACAGTTTGCCGAACTACCAGTTTACTATCACCTTCCAAACCTTCAGCACATAGTTTTCCCACAGAACCCTTTTCCGAAAACACAGCATATCCTTCAGGGTGGAATCGTGGCAAGTAGGGTACCATGGGTTCAGGATCGATTAATTCCGAGGCCAAGGGGGCAATGGAAACTGAAGAGAGGAAGAGTGAGAGAGAGTAGATTTTTTTAATTATATAATTCGAAGTAGATTTATTTTTCCCCAACTTACGACAATCCTTTTCATCCGAACCATCTGGACAATCAGCCTTGCCATCACATCGAGCCTTGCGTGGCACACAGGCTCTACCACGACCACAATATAATGAATTACTTGTGCAGAACGAGCAGGTCCTTTCATCTGACAGATCTGGACAGTCGGCAACACCATCACACAAACGTGGACTATGAGCATTCATTTGCATATCACTGGCACAGCGGGGCTTATGATGACACGACTGTATACCCGTCGATTCTGGGAACTTTTCACAATCGAAATATTTCTGGAAACGCTTTGGCAATCGATTGCCACATCCTCGCATAAACTGCTCACAATACTCCCGACACATAATACCCGGTGAGGGTTCTACATTTATTTGTCCCTCACAGGGCGGTTGCAGCAGACGGCACACGAAGTCAAATGCCTCACGGAAACATTCGGCATCAACCAATTCGCGAAAGGCGATAACATCGGCCTGGACTTCTTCGAAGGAGGTGTGACCCAATAGATTTGGATAGGTGGTAATGTTGTAACCAATCGACCGACAGTAATTTAATTTTAGAGGTTCACAACGTCGTGGTTGTCTAGGGGTGGTGGTTATTATCTCTGTGGTCTCATCATCACCACCTAAGGGTGACGAGGACATAATCGGTTCTTCAATTAGACCCGTAACTTCTTTGATCATCAATGACTGGGGATCGACAGTTATGTTGGCAAAATACCGGGGATTCGGACTGTTAAACTCTTCGCCAAATAGGGCTAGAAGATCTGCGGTATTCACCAGGCCAGCATAGGGATCGAAGACCATATTGAAATGGACCAGAATATCGCTTTTATCTTCGAAACTGGAAATGCGGGAAAAAAAAATTAGGCACAGATAAAGTATCTACTTTTTTACGTTACCTAAATAACATAGATAAAGAGACTACGTTATCTAAATATCATAGATAATGTATCTACGTTATCTAAATATCATAGATAATGTATCTACGTTATCTAAATTACGTAGATAATATATCTACGTTACCTAAACAACGTAGATAATGTATCTACGTTATCTAAATAACATAGACAATGTATCTACGTCATCTAAATAAGGTAGATAATGAATTTACGTCATCTAAATAACGTTGATAATGTATCTACGTTATCTAAATGATGTAGATAATGTATCTACGTTATCTTAATAACTTAGATAATGTCTCTAAATTACCTAAATAACGTAGATAATGTATATACATTACCTAAATAACGTAGATATTTAATCTACGTTATCTAAATAACGTATATAATGTATCTACGTTATCTAAATAACCTAAATAATGTATTTACGTTATCTAAATATCATAGATAATGTATCTACGTTATCTAAATTACGTAGATAATATATCTACATTATATAAACAATGTAGATAATGTATCTACGTCATCTAAATAACGTAGATGATGTATCTACGTCATCTAAATAACGTGGATAATGTATCTACGTTATCTAAATAACGTTGATAATGTATCTGCGTTATCTAAATGATGTAGATAATGTATCTACATTACTTAAACAACGTAGATAATGTATCTACATTGTCTAAATAACCTAGATAATGCATCTGCGTTATCTAAATAACCTACATAATGTATATACGAAATCTAAATAACGTAGATAATGTATCTACTTTATCTAAATAACGTAGATAATGTATATACGTTATCTAAATAACGTAGATAATGTATCTACGTTATCTAAATAACGTAGATAATGTATCTACGTTATCTAAATAAGGTAGATAATGCATCTAAGTTATCTAAATAAGGTAGATAATGTATCTACGCTATCTAAGTAACGTAGATGGTGTATCTACGTTATCTAAATAACTTAGATAATGTCTCTACATTACCTAAACAACGTAGATAATGTATCTACATTACCTAATTAACGTAGATAATGTATCTACGTTATCTAAATAACGTATATAATGTATCTACGTTATCTAAATAACTTAGATAATGTATCTACGTCATCTTAATAACGTAGATCATTAATCTACGATATCTGAATAAGTGACTAAAGTTTCTACGTCAACTAAATTACATAGATAATGTATCTGAGTTATCTAAATAACGCAAATATTGTATCTATATTATTTAAATATTTTAGATATAATACTACGCTGTCTTAGTGACATAAATAATACGTCAACGTTATCTAAATAACCTAGATAATAAATCTATGATTTTTACATGATGTAGATAATATTTTGTCTGAATAGTAGAGATAATGTATCTAGATTATCTTAATAACCTAGATAATATATTTTTTATCTAATAAACTTTATCTCAGATCAAAATGAAGTACATACCCATCTAATGCCAATATTTCACTACCCTCATAGGCTTCGCGTAGATCCGAACGTCTCACTAATAGGTTGATACGTTCCCTATAATCCCTTGACTTTTGCTGGAATCTCTGAGAATTTTGATTTGCCAAGTCCATGGACCATTTGTCATTTAATATTTGGAATTTGCCACGGAAAATTCGATCAGACAATGGTTCCGGTTTGAAATAGGTATCTGAAAATTAATAAAAAAATTAAAAATCTGATTCTATAATAAATTCCACTTCCCACTTACATCCCACATAAACAAATACCCCAGCCACCAAGAGAGCGACTAGAAATCCTGCAATCACAGCACAACCACACTTCTGGCTATCACCCAATTTTCGCCGGGTAAATCTTATATCCGAATCTGTCGACAATACGGATTCCGTTTTCTTTCGATGTCCGGCACTGGGTAGATGATGAATGTGGCCGTGACCATTGTGACTGTGACCGTTAAGTGTGTGATGGGCAATATCTGCTCCGATGGCCATACCATTACCGTTACGATTTGGCGAATGACTGTGAGCCTTGTGATGCCGGGTACAGCGGGTATTGTGAAAGACTTTTGGTACGGTTGTGGTTGAGGCTTGTGATGCACTGCCACCCTGCGTCGATGACGATTCACGTGCTGAGCTGACGTTTGATGAAGGCATGCCCTGAAATAAATCGAAAGAAAATTTGTAAATAAAAAATCCCAAAAAAGTGAAAGTATGGAAAATTTAATAAAAAAATTAAATAATTTCTTAGGCCTATTATTTTTTTTTTAATATCGTAATTTTTTTATAATTATGTAATTCATTTTCTAACGGAAATTGCTGATCGATTGTTAATGATCCATGACTTTTAGTCATGGCCATTAAAACTTTTGGAACAACATGAAATGCTCTAATGCCTGATAGTTTGCATGCCAAGGTAGGCTTTTTGGTAGTATTAAGTAGCTATTAATTTACATAATATCGGAATGCAAGTAATATTGTAACGATATTGTATCAAGTGCAACGAAATAATTTTCAATGCAAGGTTGAATTTCAAATAGGTTTCCCAAATTTTCTTTGAAAAGCTTTTTTTATTACAAAAATTAAGCTAAATAATTAGGATTGTTTTTAAAACCAGACTGTAAGGCAAGGATTTTATAAAAATATTTTTTTCAATAATATTGGATTTTTTAAAAATATTTTTTATTGAAAAATATTTTTTTATTGATAATGGATTTCTTTAAATTTATTTTTTTTTTAATAAGGCATATTTTTTAGATATGTTTTAATTGCTTTAAATAGGTTTTCAATCAATATTATAGGGCGTATTTACTAGCCATTTTGTAGATAAATTATAGGTTATAGGAGACTCACAAATTTTTAGATTATCTATCGCCTTTTGTTACTTCTCTTTTTTTTAATTCATCATTGAAAATTTCATTAATAATTTCAAGACAGACAATTCAACAAATGTTCAGAAACCCAATTTGCATACACTTCACTTTTTTGGCACCCATCATCATCTTGCAAATGGTGCAAGACACAATTGAGAAAGATGGTTGGTGGTGGTTGCACGAAGTGAACACCTGAGGAACATAATGCATGTGAATCCCAATAGAAAATTAGCACATCGCACAATGGATTTCATTTTCATACATAAATGCATACATATTTATGTGTATATGTATAATATACAGAAATTCCACCCTTCTCAAATTCCATGAAGTTCATGCAGCACATGTGAAAAGACACCCATCTGTCTTTGTATCAGCTTCGTAATTATTTTGAAAGGGTTATTTGGAATTTATATGCAAATAACAATGCATACTAAAATTAGTGGTTTTTAATTTCATATCGTATTTATATTTAAAAAATATTTCCAAAAAAACAACCACTGCTCCAGGTGAGGCTCGAACTCACAACCCCGGCATTGCTCACAAGTTACTGATTATAAGTACCGTGCGCTAACCAATTGCGCCACAGGAGCTGTTGATTTAACTGCAGCTAAATGTTAAGCGGTGATCGACCTTGAAATTCAATTGAAATTCAAATGTTAAGCGGTGATCGGCCTTGAAATTCAATTGAATCCAGGATTAAAAACAATATTGAAAATAAGGATTTGAAATTTGTGTTTTTTAAATGAAAATAAAAATAATGAAACAAATTTAAAAGATAATAAAAAAATAAATTGAGTAATAATAAATAAAAAAAATTCAATTTAAAAAAAAATAATTTAATTAGCAAAATGTAATATAATTTTTGAGTAGCTTTATTTATTTTTAAAAAATTTAAAAAAAATTTGGTTATCGATCAAATTTATTTAGCGTAGATTTTTTAAAGTTTGTATACCCTTCACCACACTGTGGTACAGGGTATTATGTCTTTGTGCATATGTTTGTAATAGGCAAAAGGAAACGAGATAGACACATGGTTCCTTTTGAGAATATGCATAGAATCACTTTCTGAGTCGATTTATGCATGCTCGTCAGTCCGTCCGTCTGTCCGTCTGTAGATGTTAAATTGTAAACAAAGTACAGGTCGCATTTATTATCCGATTTGGATGAAATATGGCACAAGACACTTATTTGGCCCATGGACGAACCCTATTGAAATTGAAGAAAATCGGTTCAGATTTAGATATAGCTCCCATATATAGTTTCGTCCGATTTAAGGTAAATGGTGCACCAAAGGCTTTATACATCTTTAGATTTGCACGAAATTTGGCATAGAGTACTGAATTAGGTCCAGAATTATGTGTGCTAAGTTTTGTGAAAATCGGTTCAGATTTAAATATAGCTCCCATATATAGTTTCGTCCGATTTTTTGTAAATAGTGCACCAAAGTCCTTATATATCCTTCGATTTGCACGAAATTTTGCATAGTGTACTGAATTGAGTCTAGAATTACGTGTGCCAAGTTTCGAGAAAATCGATTCAGATTTATATATAGCTCAAATATATATTTTCGTCTGATTTAAGGTAAAAAGGTCACCAAAGTTCTTATATATCTTTCGATTGGCACGAAATTTTACATAGAGTACTGAATTAGGTCGAGAAAATCGGTTCAGATTTATATATATTTCCGCTATATAGCTCCCATATAATCGGGCTCTAAAGTCATTATATATCTTTCGATTTGCACGAAATTTGGCATAGGCTACTGAATTACGTCCACGATGATGTGTGCTAAGTTTCGTGAAAGTCGGTTCAGATTCAGATATAGATCAAATATATATTTTCAACCGATTTAATTTAAATTATGCACTAAAGACCCAAAGATTGGCAATCGGCACACAATTTTGTACAATGTACTGAAGTTACTATAACCTTTCGTGTGTCAAGTTTTCTTGAAATTGGTGCAGATTTAAATATATCTTCTATATATGCTTTCGTCGAATTTAAATAAATGTTGCACTAAAGGCCCATATCTAGTTCGATTGACAAAACGTACTGAAATTAATAAAAATTATGTACCAAAGTGGTGAAGGGTATCATAAAGTCGGTTCAGTCCGACTTTACTACTTTCCTTACTGGTTTTTAAATAAATTATGTGGCGTTGAGTTTTAGAAAATATGTTTTGATCAATATTATAAGGCGTAGATCTTTTAAAACATTTTTTAATAAATATTACAAGGTGTAGATTTTTAAAATTTTCAATATTAAAGGTCGATGGTTTTTAAAAAATATTGTTTTTTTCAAAATTACGGGGTGTGCTTTAAAAAAATTGTGCCAAAATTATAGGGCGAGCATTAAAAAAATATTTTTTTAATCTATATTATAAGGCATGGATTTTTTAATAATTATTATAAAGGTCCATAACAAAACCATAATGGTTTAGCTTACTAGTTTTAATGTTTTAAATTTAATTTTTCTTCTATATTTATCACTAATTAGCTTTTTTTACAGTTTTTTAATTATATATTTTTTTATTATATATTTGTTTTTCTATTATTTTTAACATTTTCTTATTTTATAATTATTATAAAATAATACAAAATTAAAAAATAATATACAAATATATTTGCAAAAAAAATCAACTGCTCCAGGTGAGGCTCGAACTCACAACCCCGGCATTGCTCACAAGTTACTGATTATAAGTACCGTGCGCTAACCAATTGCGCCACTGGAGCGCTTGCCCGGTTGCTGTCAAATAGCCTACATGAAACAGAGCCATGGAACTGTAGATACAGCGATGTGCAAATACACATACGCACACATACAACCGCACTCACTATGCTGTATTAAGAACATGGATGCGAAACGTTGAAAGTGAAACCATTTGGCAAAGAAATGAAAGGGAAGAAACAATATAATGGTAATCAACGAAGTGGGTTTATTGTGTTGTTTGTTGATAGTGAAATATTTAATGTTACCACTGTTTGTGGGGGAAAAGGGTATTTATTTTGGGTGGATGTAGAAACAAAAAATGGGAAATCATTTTAAAATTTCAAAAGAAAAATTAGTAATGTATGCAAAAGATTAGAAAATCATTAAATTATTGATTTTTGTGTTTTTCTTTAGACGGTATATTTAAAATGTAAGGTTAATGATATACACTTTGCTACAACAGGAATCTTTCTGTCTGGCTGATGGGCACGATATTTCCAAACTTTGGATATGTTAATAATAGACTTAAATTAAGTTCGAAAATGGGGAATATCGATCTACTCCTTCTTCTCAAAAGACCAAAACACCAAAACACATGGACCTGTATTGTTCATTTTTATGAATAGATGTATGTCACCCCCAAAAACACTGTTGGAAAATACCTCTAAAAACAATACAAACCATCCAAGTAATAATAGCAATTTCAGTGCATAATTGTAATGTTTTATCTTATACTAGCATAGGCATATTCGTTAGCGAATGTGAGTTATATTTAAACATGTATTAAAATATTATTTTATTTTCACAGAAAACTGCATATGGCAGAAAAACTAAACAATCTACACATTAATATCGACCATAAATTGAATTTGAGTACCATTTAGTACCAAATTTCATGATTCGAGCTCTAAAGTGATCCTTAATCCAAGATTCAGGATTACAACTCTATTGGTTCACCCACAATTCAAATTGTACCAAATGTAGTACACAGTAGTTCGACTTTTTTAAAACGTCCTCCTTACCACAAACCTACACCCCCACAATGATCCTAAGTCCACAAAATGTTGTACAACATTTTGTAGACAGTAGTGCGAATTTCCAAAACCTCCTTCTTACCACAAACCTACACCCCCATAGTGATCTTAAATAAAATTTTCATGATTCACTCACATTTCAAATTGTACCAAATTTAGTACACAGTAGTACGAATTAAAAAAAATGACAACTTAATCCAAACCAACACCCCCACAGTGATCCAAAATCCAAGTTTCAGGATTCCAACTCTATCGGTTCACCCACAATTTAAAGTGTACCAAATTTAGTACACATCACTACGTATTTCTAAAACCTCCTTGTTTCCACAAACCTACACTCCCGTAGTGATCCTAAGCCCAAATTTCAGGATTCCAACTCGATCGGTTCACTCACAATTCAAAATGGTACCAAATTTAGTACACAACAGTACGAATTTCCAAAACTTTCTATATACCCCAATCCTACACCACCACAGTGATCCTAAATCAAAATTTCAGGATTCCAACTCTATCGCTTCACCCACAATTTAAATTGTACCAA